AAGATGCAGCAGAGTCATTCATGGTGAACTGTCACAGCACACAGGAGGGCACAGCTTGCCACCTCACATGGACCACTGCAGTCTACAGGGCATCTATGAAAGGAAGCTGGAAAGCAGAAAGCCCCTGTCTGGCCCTTAAAGTGTACTCCAAAGATCCACAGGATGACAGCACTTGGGTCTGGACTTCAAAGCTCATCAAGACATAGATTCCTGGGCCTCACCATTTCCCTTGCAGGATTATTGAGACAGGTTCTCACTGTATGACCTCAAACACTGCTGCAGGCTCCCAAATGCTGGATCACAGATGCGCACCACCACAGCCAGCAAGAAAGAGTTGGATGACTGAGATGCAGAGGAACCCTATGACACACTAAGAAAGTACCTGAGAAAGCTGGAGAGAAGAAAAGAGATGAATGCCACCTCCAGTCATCCTAGCTTTGGAAAAAAGTACCTTGCCTGTCAAAGCTATAGTAGAGAACATGATCTGAGTTCTGGTGCTTCGAGGAGCTATTGGTAGAGTAGGAAGCACAGGTGGACCCAGATCCATGGAGTGGAGAGCAGGCTGACTTCCTACTCTCCCCTTCTTGTCTCCTGCAGCTCCTGGAAAACATGGTACTTTCTCTTTAGCCCTGGCAATGTCAGGATGGCATACAGGACAGCATCATCAACATCTCTCTCTCCAATGGTTACAACTTTTATTCTCCTGCTGTCATCTCGGAGGCTTACTGTGCTCATCATTTTTCAACCTCCTCTCCAAGCTGGCCGATTCAATCTGGCTTCTCTCAGCTTCTAACTGAATTGTTCTGCTTGGCCTCAAACTAACCCTAGCAATCTGCCCTAATCTTCTGGCTCCTTCTTATTGCCTGGCTTCAACTGTCCCTGCTGACCTGCTCTGAACTGCATGAACTCATGAAAGAACTCAACTCCACTGCACCGCCAACTGAATGAACTGACTGACTGACCTCCAACTCACTCCTCTCTCTCCCTGCACTGCTCTTAAATAGCTCCTCTTTCCTGTGCTGTTCCCATGAGAGTTGGGTGTATCTTATCTCTGACTCATTCTGTCAAATCTTTCTCTGTTTTGTCACTTTGTCTGCCCCTCTATTAAGACGTCACCTTCAAACACGGCTGCTTCCTTACAGAAACCAATCTTAGCTGCATTGTTTGGGATTAAAGGTGCGTGCTAAGGGCTTGACTGTTTTCCAGCCAGAGTTGCCATGTTGCTTGATTAAAATTCTTCAAACTGTCTGAGAAGGAAACCCACACTGCCTTTTTGGGTTCTGGGGCATTATTCCTATCAGGCACAGTGGCAGTTTTAATAGAAACAAATATGAGAACCAAATCCTTTCTTTGGAATTCTTTGAAAGGTCTATTGGTGTCACATTTGGTGATGCTGGATCCTAAAAAGAGATAGAGTTTAGAACCATGTGGTCTTTCCTACTCTGACATTTTTCCCTCCCTCCCTCCTTCTCTCCTTCCCTCCCTCCCTTCACGATTTAGGCTTAGTCTCTGCCTGTCCCACAGAAAGCACAATCAATGGGCGCAGGGTGGGTCTGGTGGCATGCGAGGAGACACTAAGCCATTCTAAAAGCAAGCCTGGTTCAGACGCAAGCCTCTTCAGACCCCCCTCCCTCCTGTCTTTGCACCAGCTCCATGCTCCACTGTACCTTGCCACAAGCTATCCCCTGCCTCCACTTCTCTCCCTTGACGAGGGGTATGGATGAGCTCTGGGCAACTATTTCCATCACCTACAAACATTGTGTGTGATTCATCTGCCACCCAGAGAACATTCCAGTGACTGTCTGCTTAGTTAGCACTTGATAAAGCATCGTTCGATATTAAGAAACACTTCCTAGGAAATTGAAAATAATCCCAGCAAGCAGTAAATCTTCCTCACAGAACATAAATCCTATGAATATTGAGGTCTGTGCTTTTTTTCCCCCCACAATGGGTGAGACATGCAATGGATCAAATTCAAATGATTGGATAATTTATCTGGAAACCAAATTCCTCACTCTGCATTTCCTAATTTGCCACCTTGGATTCAGGCCACTGGTGGGCACTGCCAGAACCTGTTTTTGCTGGTTCTCAGCAATGGCTTCATTGAGAGCTGAGCAGCAGGCTGTGTTTGGTACAGGTGCCCTTGAATATACTTCATCTCCCCGTTGCTGCTTAGAATTCCCTCTGAGACTGCCAAGTGTCAACAGCCATGGTGATTATTCAAGTCACCTGATATGATACGAGAAGAGATGTGACCTGGCCTGCCAAATGGTCACATTATTGCCAGCTTCTGTACCCTAAGGGAGGGGTGTAGGGCAATGTGAGCAGATGGCCCACAAGCTCCGGCAGTCAGAAGCTGTCACAGGGTCCTCAGCTGTCTTAAGTGAGATAAATCCTCAGAATGGAACAGGGCAGTGACAGCCACCTTCTTTGTACAAAGAAAATGCATTAGAACTCTGGGCTGGAAATGGGCTTAAACTTGTCCAAGGAAGGCCCCACCCTGACCCCAACACTTTGCAACCTGCCTACTCCCTAAGCCTTCTCCGAAGAAGCTGGGCTGGTCGTTTAATAGACCATGACCTTTAACCCCTTCTTTAACTCCTGTTAGAAGAATTCCTTCCTTAAAGAGACATACACAAAGCCAACCCCCACCTTACAAGGTCCCGACAACTGAAGTAGGATCCCACAAAGTTCACTCTGGGGAACCCTCAAGTTTATTGGTCACAGGGTACATGCTGGCAAGGAACCCAGCATGAATGATGGCTTCCCCATACATAGGTAAATAAATGAAACACCCTTCAGTTAGCCTTTCCCAGCTGACATACTCTAGCTCCTAGAGGCCTAGCGCCTCCCAAGACCTTGAGGTCATGACCCCTGAACACACTAAGTGCAATCAAGGCAGAATGGCTTTGAGAAGAGGTTACAGTCTCTAACGACCTTGCCCAAACGCTGTTCTGAGGAAATGTCAGTGGCCCACAGGCCTCTCCTGACAGTCTCTTGAAAGCAGGCATGACTCATCTGATCACAGCAGCTGTTTTGTTTGGAGGACTATACTCCAGAACACCTGTCTTGTAATAGCCGCCCCTCCCCTCTCAAGCTGTGTCATAGGGATAGACCACCTCTCTGCTGATGCCCCTCTATGCTTTAAAAAATCCTCAAAGGTCTCAGGCCCTTGAAAGGATATGGCCAAAGGCCCAGTCAAGGAATGGTCAGCAGAAATATGGGGACTACCAACTTTAGGATAAAGTCCAAATGTCCTCAAATGACATTCGGTCTAGTTAACCAGGCCCAGGCTGGATGTATGTAATGGTCTTGTCATCCCGTCTTACAGAGTCAGCCTACTCTCCACTCCTCTCCCTCATAGCACTCTTCCTGGTGACTTTTGGGATTATGGAGAAAGCCCTATTGATCTTCTCAAGCTCTGCCCAGGCACCTACCCCAGAATTCCATCTTCTGTGAGGTTCAGCTCAGGCTTGACATCCTAAACCTCAGCCCGTCCCCTGCAGCCCCAGTATCATGTTATCCTTTTCATATAGGTTGTCATGGCTACACGACTCTAATTTCATATTGTTCTCACCTTTTGTTCTGAGGCCAAAGATATATTCTCACTTTACTGAACATCTCCATCACCTCCTACTAACCCTGACTAGGACTCGTCTCCACGTGGAACCCCTTCTTCTGCAGGAGAGGGCTCCTGGGAAAATCAGTCTCCTTCATGAGTTGTAAAGGAATCCCCACAACAGAAGAGCTAGCCAGCAGCCAATACCAGAAAGGGTTCCAGACTCTCACAGAAGCCTGTCAACCAATCCTGCCTGTAATAAGGTCGGAGCATCTCAGTTGAGATCTGCTCCACAACTGCCTTGGATCTAGGCTTTGCATCTGACCTTTGTTTTGATCCTTGGCAGAGTATTTTGACATCCTACCTTGTCATGGTCCACTTAACAAGATTTTGTCTTCATATAGGCTAGGGGAGCCAGTCAAAGGCATGACAGCATCAGAGACCAAGGGTGGGTGGGTGGCTTGGATAAAATCCTTAAAACGTGATGATAGCCCAGTACTGTTGTGTCTGTTCTGCTCTGACTTATGAACACAGCAAACATCTCCAGTGCTCTGTCCCCTGCCTGCCCCCAGGCACTAGCTGTAGATCTGAACCCACGGCAGCAAAGGAGAGATCAAATCAGATAAAGACAGGAATGCAGAGCCAGCTCCAGAGGGAAAGGATCATGTCATGCCAAGTCGTCCTTAACCCTGGATGCTTGGAGCTACAGACCTCCATGAACCTCCCAGAATCCTCTGGAACCCACTTAAATGAAACTTGGGATTAAATCAGATCCACCAGGTGGCAGCCTTCCCCTGCTCAGCCGACTGAGCATTCAGTACGCAGAAACAACCACCAGAGGGCTACACAAGCCCGGCAGGCTCCAGGCAGTTGGTTACCTAGCAACTGTGACGCAATAGGTCCTGTTTTCACCCTCCTCAAGGCCTCCCAGGTTATTTCTGGCAAAACAGACTGTTGCACAAGGAGTGAGGAATCCTAGAATGGCTTCACTCTTAAGCCAGAAGAATCTAAAATGGTCCAGTGGGCCCCAAACCCGCGCCATCCTGGCGTCTAGGGGGGCTGGGCTGCTACCCCTGCTTCCTAGATGCATTTTCCATTCAGCTTTGTAGCCTCACAGGACTAAAGTCACCCTGATTTCTTTTGTGGCTAAAGAGAAGCAGTGCCTCTCTGTCCCCTAGTTTCTAATCCAGGGCTAGATTAATGGACATGTGACCCTCAGTAGACCTTGAATCTCCTGTTCTTCAGCTATACTCAAGGGAGCTAAGAAGGGTACAGTAAGACCCAGCTTGGATTTTCTGTACTCTTGAATCTACCCTTCCCCGTCAAACCCTCTCTGTCCCTTGCTTCAAATCTCTTCCAGTTCGGATGACCCTAGTAACACTTCAGGTAGGTAAACGTGGTCTTACAAGCCACAGGTGGCACCAAGAAAATGAGGCAGACACAAGACACGGAGTGTGTTATAATGACTTCAAAGCCGGTGCCGTCTGGGCTGTGAAAGTCAAGGGGCCACTGTCCTGCCATGGGCAGTGACTCCAGGAACATCCCTGGGTCCTGAGGAATGCCTGGCCCTGGTGCTGGGTTCCTGGGTCTGTGCAGTGGGGTCTGGAGGAGAAGCATCCTGAGGTCACACAGGCATGTGCAGCTCGTTGTACTCGTCCTGACCATCCTCATCAAAGTTTGGCTCAGCATCTTCAGAGTCCAGCTGCGGAAGAGAGCATGGGGTTGGAAAGACAGGGAGACAGACAAACGAGTCCCGTGTTCCTCACATCCCCTTCTGCACCCCTTCTCTCCCTCTCCAGGACCCCAGCTTGAAGTACTTCCCTCCCCAAAACCTTCATTCCCAGATCACCCCGAACACCCAAATGGACCAGTGCAGTCGCAACTGTGACACAGCAGAGCATGCCTAGGATCTTGGCGCCTCCGTGCCCCATATCTAAGCATGAAAGAACTGCAAAAATTGAACAGTAAAATGACTCAGCAGATAAAGGTGCTTGTCACCAAGCCTGATGACCCAACTTCAATCCCCAGGACCCACATGATGGAGAGAGAACCAACTCCCGAAGGCTGCCCTCTGACCTCAGCACATACACACAAAATACTTTTTAAAAGCCAGGCATGGGCCGGGCAGTGGTGGCGCACGCCTTTAATCCCAGCACTTGGGAGGCAGAGGGAGGCGGATTTCTGAGTTCAACGAGGCCAGCCTGGTCTACAGAGTGAGTTCCAGTACAGCCAGGACTACACAGAGAAACCCTGTCTCAAAAAACAAAAACAAACAAACAAAAAAAAAGCCAAACATGGTAGTGCGTGCCTTTAATCCCAGGACTTGGAACACAGAGACAAGTAGATCTCTGTGAGCCTGAAGCCAACTTGGTCTACAGAATTAGTTCCAGGTCAGCCACAGAGAACACAGAGATACACAGAGAAACCCTGTCTCGAAAACCAAAAACAAACAAGCAAAAATGTTGAAGAAGGAAGAGGGTGAGGAGGAGGAAGTGAAGGAGGAAGAAGAGAAGGAAAGTAATGGAGAAAGAAAGAGAGAAAGAGAAAGAAAGATAGAAGGAAGGAAGGAAGGAAGGAAGGAAGGAAGGAAGAAAGAAAGAAAGAAAGAAAGAAAGAAAGAAAGAAAGAAAGAAAGAAAGAAAGAGAAAAAGAAAGGAAGAGAACAGAAAAAAATTAAAGAAGAGCAAAAACGATGTCCTTTGCTAAAGCTGACAGAAACAGTGCCCAGGACTGATGCCTGTGCTACCCCACCCATATGCAGCCCACAGCCAGGTGCCTTGTTTAAGCACAATTATTCACCACAGCCCTGTCTTGTTCTTTCTGAAGCCTCATATCAGCAGCTTTATTTACTTGGATTCATAGTTAAATCTCCCACCAGTTCTTCAGTAGGCTCTACAAGCCCATTATACCGGTGAAAACAGCACTTCGGAGCATTTGGTACCCTCACACAAGCCAACAGGTAGCCAACAGGAAGCCAGTGCCCACCTGCCTTAATCCTACCACCCTGAAGCCATCCTCCCTTACCGCCTGCAGCTCCCTGTCCTGGAAGAGCCTGGGCAAAAGGCATCGCCTCAGAGGCACCGTGAGCAAGAGCAGGAAAGGAAAGGCCAGCGAGGCCGCCGTTGACTTGACCACCCAGAGAAGTGCAATGCAGCCCAGCTGGATGCAGGTGAACAGGTGCATCCGCCATGTCTTCACCTGGGGTACAGGCTCAGTGTCATTACACAGTGGCCACTCGGGCCCCACCCACACCTTTGGAAACATGGCTCTCTGGGTCCCAGTTATTCTTACCTTATTCCCTCTGCTCATCCCTAGGTGAGGAGTCCCTCCAGAACCCCACCCATCAACTCAAGCATGTCCCACAACTCCATGCATCTGGGCCTGACCTTGGTCACATAGGGCTGCTCAGGATGGTGCTTTGCTGGCATGAAAATGAGCAGCAGACGCTGGGACAACTGGATTCCGGACAGTGATGTGACTCCCATGTACAGGAAAATCCCAAAGAGTACAGCCAACGGGATGCGGCGCAGCACAGCTCCCATGACAATAGACAGGCCTAGAGGAAGTAACACACATCAGCCTATCCCGGCCTCTGCCCTGCTCTGCCCTGCCCAGACAAAGGGCCTGGTAAGGGATTTGTTTATTTGACCAATTTGGGCCTCCCAAATAGATGAATCAGGACAAAGGAGAAGCAGGGAAGAGTTCCCAGTGTGAGGTGACATGTTGGAGACCTGGGGGAGGGCCAAGCACGATGCAATTGCAGATTCAGGAGGGTCAAGCCCAGGATGATGAGGATTTCAAGCCATTGGGCCCAAGAAAGCAAGTCTATGGGGAGACTCGGGTGCTCACCCACAAGGCTGGCAATGAGCACCCCGGTGACCCGCTGCTCCCGCACCTCCTGGATCTGGGGCTTGTCACCGGGTGCAATGGCAGTACGCATCACCGTCAACGCGTTGACATGAGTGACAGAGCGGACAGTGGCAGCTGTGAGCCAGGGCAAGCCGAACAACCCACAGAGGCCACCCAAAGAGCCAATCAAAAGCAGGTCAAGATGGAAGCCGGAACCCTTGAGTAGCCTCCGTGCCTTCTGGCTGACAATGAGCCTGTGGGGGATTGAAGGGGAAGGAGCTAGCTAGCAGGCGGACCTGCAGTACACACAGCATTCACCCAAGGCTTGAGGGGAAGGGAGCATGGAAGATGACAGCTCTCCCTGGGCCTGTCAGCTTCCTCTTTCACATTCCCAAATTAACGTTCTCACACTCCAGTAAAACTGAGCCAAATTCTCATGCTGCGAACATTTAAAAGCACCACAAAAGCCAGATGCCAGATCAGACTGTGTTATTTTGGTTTAACCAAAATGAGAAATGTGTGAGCATCGCTATCTGGGTGAGAGAACATCCTGACAGAATTCTGAGAACTTCCAAGTGCCACCATGCCAAGGGTGATAGCAAGAGGCACCAGGTCAAACCCTCACAGGAGTACCATGCCTGGGCCCACATGCCCATGCCTGTTGCAGCCTGTTGCTCTAGCTGCTGCTCCTCTTCCTCCTCTTCCTCCTCTTCCTCCTCCACTACCGCCAGATCCCAACAAACTCCTCACAGCCTACCACAAGGCAACACTAGACACCCCTGCCTTAACCCTGAAGCCAACCCACCCGCCCATCTCCCATCCCTCTCCAGCCCTCTCACGCAGTTATCTGTGTCTCCATGAATATGAGGATGAGGACCAAGAGCGCAGGGACAGCCGCAGCCACCATCATCCATGGCGGGAAGGGGCGGGCACTGCCCAAGGGTGGGATGAACCATGTGCGCTTATGCGGGGAAGTCACAGAGAGCCCTGTAGGCACCGTCAACTTCTGCACGGCAGGAAGGAAGACATAGGTCAGAGCCAGAGGCTGCCCATAGGAGAGATCTACACTGCAGCTCTTCCTACTACAGAGTTCCCAGAACTCGAAAGAACTGGTGAAACTCACTTTCATTCTCCAAAGTGCCTGTTCCCGGAGCCAGCAGAGGGCATAGCAATGGGATACCTCCCCCCTGGCTCCAAAGCTGTCAAGAGACCTGCTGTTGGAGAGAGCCGGCACTCTGCACCAGCTCACACTTATTCTTCCAAATTCCTCCCACTTAGGATCATAACTAGTTAGATGCCCTGGGTAGCCCATGGGTCAAACCTCACGGCAGCCTCTGGTGTGGCCCAACGTCTTGCCACTCGACCATGAGAGCTAGGCTGCAACCCTGCTCCAGATCCTGGGGCTAGTGGAAATTTGCAGTGGCCACAGGAGATGAGGCAAACTCACCTGTGTGTAGGTGTCTGTGATAGAGTAATCCACAAGGACCATCACCAGGATGGAGATGGGAATGCCAAAATCCCCGATGATACGTCGAGCCTGCCAAAGGCAGTCATGTTGGAAGCAAGAGGCTAAGGGACAGGAGATACCCCCAACCAAGCTGAGGCCTGAAACACCCTAAGGTGCCCCTCAAGGTGCCAGCCCAAGTGTCAGCCACAGCTGGGAGGCACTCTTGTCTTGTGTGGGGTGAAGGGGGGGCGTGGTGGCAAGACGAGGGACGGGGCTGTTGGACCAATGGATTGGCCAAGAAGGGAGGAAGATTCTCTCAAGAGCCGAGCCTAGCAGGGACAACAGGAACCAAGGGGGACAGAATACCTTGCCCCCCAGGAAGCGGCTGTTCCTGAACTTGCGCAGGAAGAAAGCAATGAGAAAAGTCCCCAGCATGAGGATGAGGGACAGTAGAGCTGTATTGGGCTGGTTCCTTGGACCTGGTGGTCCCTCTGTGGGGGGCAGGGCACTGCTATTCAGTTCCAAGCCAGTCTCCAGGGCCCCCTCCGGTGGGTAGAAGGGCAGCAAAGGATGCTCTGTGAACACCTGTGTATACAGAAGGGGATGCCTCACTCTCCACAGGCGGATGACAAGCCCAGCCCTGACATCCCTTAACCTCCACCTCCCAACACACAGACACACACACACACACACACACACACACAAAGCCCCCCTCCCCATGACTTGCTCTCAGCAATCTCCAGGCCTCCTTAGACCAGGCATCACCTCTATCCTACCCCTACCCACCATCTTGGACACTACCATACCTTATAGAGCTTGTGAAAAGTCTCATAGATGAAAATTAGCGAGATGAGGAAAGCAAAGATCTCCTGGGTAAATGGCGAGATGTAGCGGACAAGGAAGCTGCCCTCTGCAGCCACCAAGGCCAGGACGAAGACCACCAGCCAGAGGCCCACCCACACTCGACCGGTGAGGTATTCCAGGTCCTGAGCTCGGCAGAACTAGAGATAGTAAGGGGGAGGTTGGTTAGCTACAGGTGAGCCATCTGCCCCCAAGGCTGCTACCTGTGGGATAACCAGGGGTAGACTCCAAGGATAAGAAGGGAGAGTACAGAGGCCCAGCTCCTGGACCTTTGGATAAGGGGCTGACAAAGGGTTGGAAGGAGGGGCAGTGCCTGGGGTCGTGGACAAGCTTCACCTTAAAGAAAGCTTCTTCAAAGACTAGCAGAGGCCCAGAGAAGCCCACCACGAGCAGCGGCTGGGCCCCCAGCAGAGAGAAGAGGACCCCAAGCACAGCCGTGGACACAATCAGCTCTGACACGCCCATCAGCCCCTCGGTCTTCTCTCCTGGGGTGGAGAGGGATCAACAAGATAGCCACAGCCTGGCTCTTCCTGTTCTGACCCTTCCTCTTCTGGCTCTCTAGCAAGAGCAGAGCAGCTTCCAGAATAACAGACAAGGCCCTGCTTGCATTCCCAAGGAAATGACAGGGATCCTGCCTTTACACCTTCATTTTATAGCCCCCCCAAAACAGATCGCAGGAGTCCTCTGACCCAGTAGCTCCCTAAGGGAGTTGCAGCTTTCCTACCCTCCGCTGTCCATCGTCCCTCTAAGTGATGTGAACCATAGAACCCTACAAGTGACATCTGACCCCCACAGTGACCCCGAGAGCCTCACCTAGCAGCCCCCCAAACGTGATAGCAGGGCTGAGGGCCGCGAAATAAATGAAGAGCACAGCAGCCACACACTGGGAGTGCAGTGCGTCCCGCAGGTCACTGGGGTAGTGCGGGTACCGGCGCTTCACATCCCGCACTAGCCCCCCAAACACCGAGCCTGTCCGCTGCAGGGGATCATCTTCAGAGGTTGCCTCAGAGCCTCCCATCTCCAAAGACAGTTCTGGGGAAATGGGAAAGATTCAGATGAAACACAGGCCACTCCATCCTGTCTGGAGGCCCTGGCTGTGTCCCCACAGCACTGGGGGCAGTGATGGTAAGAGCACTCAAGAGAGTCAGGAGTGGGCTGGGGTCTGACCTTTGCCAGGGGCCGCATAGCCCCCCCGGGTGGTCATCTCCACTTTGGTCTGTTCCCGCTCCCGCCGCTTCCTCAGCAGCTCCCGCTGGAAGGCAGCCACTGAACGTAGTAGGTCCCGGCCCTCTACCTCCGATGGTGGAATCACAATGCTGCCATCCAAAAACTCGCTGATGGCACCCAAAAGGTCCTGCCGGTCATCTGCCTGGTAGGCAGCCTCGTGAAACAGCTGGGGAGAGGGGATGGCTCTCAAGGATGGGCCAAGAGAGCCCAGGAAGGAGACTTCTGAGAGGTGGTATTGGGTCACAGAGGTAAAGTGGAGAAGATGGATAGTCATACGCACCAGGCCAGTCTAGGAGAGGATTCCACAACACCGCTGACTAGGCAGTGCCAACATCCTACAGACTAGTGAGCATCCCCAGCACCACCCCAGCTAGGAGACCCTTCTAAGACCAGCCATGGTGAGCACCATCAACACAGGACAGGGGGACAGTCCACATTTCCTACATCCAAGACACTGAGTCTAGGCCTCCACTACTGTGTTGCCACCTTTTCCATGCACAGCCCAGGATTCTGTTTTCCACCCTGAGCTAGCAGCTTGCCAACTCCACTCCAGAAACAGACAGCTGGGGGACAAGCAGATCCAGGCAGTCGGGTCTAAAGAACCCATCCCAGGTTCTAGGACCAACCTTGTCAGACATGAGTGTGGCAATGGAGCGCCCTAGCTCATGGTAGTCGGTGCTGGTATGGCTGGGACCCAGCATCACAAAGAGGAAGCGAACGGGCACCGGGACCTCTAGCACAGACTCCAAGAGAACAGCCTCGCTGAGCCGCACAAAAGCTGCCGCTGGCTGCTCCAAGAATGGCACACAGCCTGAGGAAGACAAGAGCAGAAAAGCAGTGATGGGCAGGGACAGTCGAAGCAAGCTCTGGGAGGGAGAGCTGGGTTCTTCCGTAGAGTGGAGCAGTTGGACACTGTGAAAGACATCTCTGATCTAAAGTACCCTGTTCACTTACGTGTTTATATTCACACAGCAGTTACCAAGAGGTGGAGAAAGTAAGAGTGTCTGTCACACAAGAATCGCTTTTCCCCCCCCTAATTCTTACAGTGGTGCTATATATTACACTAGCCAAGATGGCAGGAAACTGAGAATAGAGAGGAAAGGACTTAAGCCTCCTCCAGAGGCCCAGGGGCACAGACCATAACAGAGGACATTCACCGTGCCCTGCCTCCTTCACCCAGCCCTGCTCACCCACAAGCACGACAGTGGCCTCAGCGTCCTCAGGGATCTTCTCCAGCAGTTTCAGGCTTTTCCCTCGGTGACCGTCTCCTCCAGGCATGTGGAGGGGCTTCTGAGGACGCAGAACTGGAATAGGGCTGGGACCCAGCCTGGACGCCATGGCAGGCCCTCCCAGCCCTGTCCCAGCGCTGTCCCAGCCCTAGGTCTGAACCCTGCTTCCTCTCTCTCCAGTCTTAGGAGGACCCTGCACCCTCCTCTGTGCCCTACCCCACCTCAGCCTTATCAGCTGAATGGGTCCCATGGGTCAGGCACATCATCACCAAACCAAAACCCTGTATCGTCGGCACAGGGAGCCCTCGTGCGTGCCACCCACAGCATGCTCGGCAAGACGCCAGGCATCCAGCTTCCCAATCTCAGCTAAAGTGGGCCTCTTCTACGTTCCCAGGCCCAGGTCAGGCAAGGTACACTAACCTCCTTAGCATCAGGGTCATATGGCCACAACGGGGCTGGCTCCCCTAGGTCATCTGCCATGGTGGGTACCGCACCATCAGGGCCATGACTAGGAGTTGGGTGGTGATTCCCCAAGACTGAGTTCACACTGGAGCTTGACGGGTTTCGAGGGAAAAAGCCACTGTCCTTGTCATCGTTGGGATGGCTAAAGAAGGGGACAAGGTAAATTGGAGAGCCTTATGTTAGACTGAAATCACGAGAAGGTGAGGCGTGAGGGAGCACAGCCTGTAGCCCTTCCTAACGTGAGAGCTTTCCATTGGTTACGGCTTTAAGAAGACGGAGGAGGATAAGCTCCCGTCGCATTGAGTAATGAAAGCTCAAGCTGAGACCCCTCAGAAGAGACAGACAATGGTCCTAAGACAGCTGAGTCAGACAGAGCCCCCTTCCCCAGCCCCTCATACCTGTGTTTCAGGAGCAGAGTCCTCAGAACACTAGCCCTGTCCTCAGGCCGGATCTGGTCAGATACAATCATGGTCTCCACCACAAGGTGAGCAATGCCTGGCAGGGTGGTCTGCTCCAGGTCCAGAAGAGCCGCTCCTAGAACACAGTGAGAGAGGGAGCCGTCCGGCCAGAGGGGAGACCCACCCCACTGCCTTGCTCCCCAAGGGCAGGCAAATGTGTAAAGTGAGCTGATACACGTCTCACAGGCATCTGGGGGAAACAGATGAAAGTGGGGTACCAGGGACCAAGGCACGAGGGTCCAAACAATGGCTGTCACGGCCCACGACTGCAGACAGCTAGAAGGTCCTGCCCCTCAGAATTCCCGGAGTGGTCCCAGCTCACTGGGCAGCCCAACACAGATGGCGCTACAGTGGGGAGAAGGACCAGGCCAAGGAGCCCTACCCTGGGCAATGGTCCTCCTAAGCTCCAGCAGGCTACGGAAGGAGAGCGAGGCAACGTGAGGCTTCCCCCAGCGCTCCGTCTCCTCCTCCACGTCCTCCTCAAACTTGATCCAGCGTGCTGTCTCCCGCCAGTGTGGCTCCTGGCTACGGTCCAACATCAGCTCATTCAGCTCCACGAACACCTGCAATAGGTATCAAGGTGAGGGCTCGGAGGCTGAGTTGGGACCGTCACAAAGGGGGAAAACTGGATCCCCAAAGCCAACACCCTCAGGCTACTATACCTCATGAGGCCTCCGATCCAGCTTCTTCTTCTTCTTCTTCCTGCGCAAGATGGGCGCCAGGCCACTGGGGCTGCCTCTCCCACCCTGTATCCGGGATGGTTTCTTCACCAAGTGCCGCCGCACCCCGGGGTTGTCCTCCAGACGATGACCTGTGGACAAGGTGGACTTGGGCCCCAATGATCCAAGATCATGGCCCACATGCTCCAGGCCCCTTTTATACCTGGTTTACCTGGCTATTATCCCACACACATTATCCAGGTGGCCATTTCACAGATGTGGAAACAGAGTCTCAGAAGGGAAAAGGCACAGTACAGAGCAACATTGTAGCACTGGCCAAGTCACAACAAAAGGCAGATCCCACTTAAGCCTTCAGTCCCATCCATACCTTGAAGCCCCTGCCACAACTTGTGGGGCCATGGGTCCAACGCTTGTCCCTAGACACCTAGCTCTCAATACCTTCGTATCCACAACACCGGAATCCCAGCCCCACTAAGTGCCCGCCGAGCTGCTTGGTCATCTTCCCACCTGCCCTGCCCAGACGAACAGCTGGAGAGAGGCTAACTGCTCAGTTACTCACAAGCAGCTACCCCTGCCAGGGGGTTCGGGTGGCCCCTCGTGGGCTCCCATAGGCCATAGTCTTCAAAGTCCAGTACAAACATTTCCAAATCCTCTGAAGCCACTAAGTCACCAGTGCTGGGGGCTGGCTCTCTCCCAGGGCCTTGGTCTTCAGTGGACTCAGGCTTAGGACTCAGAGCCCCATTGGGCTCCATGACCTTGTCCGCCGGGCTTGTCATTCCCCTGGCAGCCAAGGCCTCAGCCCTGGCTGTCCCAAGAAGTGGGAGCCCCTGCTGGAGGTGACTTTGCCCACACAGAGCTGGATGTGGTAAGGTTTCCTGCTCCCAATTCTCCTTGTCCCCCAAGCCTGCTCCTGCTGTCATCAGCCCCCACCCTAGATCTGTAAATACACCCTCCCTATGGCCCCCCCCCCCCGCAATCCCACTGTTGCTGCCATCGGATTGTTCCTGTCCCTGTCCTCAGGCCCTGGCAACTTTCCATGACGTATTGAGCTCAAAGCCCTAACTCCCCCCACCTCTGCCCCCGCCCACACCCTGTGAATCTTAGGAGGAGGAGAAGGGCAGGAGACCAGTGATGCCCCCAGCCTGGGCACAGAGCCCTGTGGGTGATGACAGGTGGCACCAAAGCCAGGCACTGATAAGATGGAAGGAATGTGCCGAGATCACAGCCAGGCCAGGGCAAGGGTGGTGGGAAGGAGTGAGCGCAGCTGCAGGCCTGGCTTGGGGAGGAAGACATGGGGCCTGGCAGTGCAGATCAGCCCTCTGCCTCCAGGCAGGTGGGTTAGTGTAGAGTTTACAAAGGAAGCAAGTCTCAGGAGAGCTCTCCTCCAAGAGTGCATGTGGAAAGGGGTCGATTTATGCAATAGGTGACTCAGAGAGCACTCCCAAGTGACACTAAGGAAAACAGCTCTGGCAGAGGTGGCTTAGTCAGATTAAGCTCTCTCTGCCACAGGGACACTGTAGAGAGGACTAGGTGGGGAGACCCTCCTCAAGGTCCCTGTCAAGGTCCCTGCCATGGAGTCTCACTCACTCTTCATGTCGTCCAGATCAGCAGAACCCAGCATTTGCGCCTCCGCCTCATCAGTGGGCACCCGCTGCTCTGGCCCAGGGTTGCCCAGGGCACTGCCAGGGCACAATCGCTCCCGCAGGTCATAACTGGCAGATGGACTCCAGAGCCGGCTCTTCTCTGTGGAGATTCGGGAAGCCCGGGCTCGGGGACTCGGGGAGCTGTGGAAGCAACATGACCCTTTAGGTCTGATGGAGAGAGGCAAGGCTCCTATAACGACCCCAGCCTCAAGAACAAGAGTGAATACAGAGGCCTCTTTTCCCAGCATGCGCAGTCCTTCCCATTCACTGGCTTGCCTCGTCTACCTGTACCCCTCTCTCTTCACCAGCACTTCAGGCCTAGAGCACTCTTGACCTCTTGGCTTTATTCTCTCTTCTCCCCTCTTGCTCCCTCCTCCCACTTGTAAACCATGAAGACAGGTGAGACTCTCCTCTCTCTCTTGGCTTTCCGGGTCACAACTACTGACACTATTCAGGGTTAGGATTCAGGTAAGTGTCAGGGACTTGGGCCAACTGCTCTGGACTGCAGTGGGTTCTACTTAGTGTGGGCTGGATCCAGGGAGCTGGGTCCAGTACCTGCCGGAGCGCTGGGGGCTTTGGTCAGACTGCAGCCCCACTGAAGGCAGGGCCTTGGCACAGGGAGCCTTGACTGAAAGGCCTGGGCTGTCATCCTCATCACTTCCGATGGAGAACTGTGGACACACGTGGACAGACTTACCACTAGGCAGCCACCTTCATCATGTCTTAACCAGCCAGCCCTCCGTCCATGAGAGGACTCTACCTTTGCTTTCTGTGGGGGCCCCGGGGGTAGAGGCTCCACAGGTTCTGCCTCAGACTCTCCCTCTTCTTCCTCTTCTTCCTCCTCCTCCTCTTCTGCTCCAGCTCCCCCCTCCTCCTGGATAGGGGGTGTCCCTTCTGAGGGGGGAGCAGAGGTTTTCTCTTTCTTCCTCTTCCTCCTGGTGTGTCGAGCAGAGGTGGGGGGCAGTCGCCGCAGCTTGTGGGGTGGAGGCAGGCGGGCTGAGAGCGGGTGATGGGTGTGGTGGGATGTGTGCCGGTGAACTGGGGGGGGGGGTGCAGGAGAGTGGGTTGAGACCCCTGAGGCAGAGTACGGCTTCCCCCACAAGGAGTATACACCTTATTCTAGCTCAAGATCTAAAACAAAGGCACCCTAGTCCTCCTCTAGAGCCAGGACACCCCTCCCAACTACTGTGTCCCTGCTCCTGTCATTGGCGAGGCCAGATGGAGTGGGGACAAGAGTGACATAGAGGGAAAGTCGCAAAGGGGAGTCGGGAGATGTGGTACAGAAGAGAGACAGAAGCTGAGGGAAGACACAACAGGAGCAGAGGGTGAGTGAGACAGAGTGGACGATGAAGGTCACTGAGGAAAGCCTCAGGCTCAGCTCCCCTACATCTCCCCTGGTCTGGAGCCCAGCTCCCCTGACAGGTGAACAAGGTGATGGTATGGGAGGCAGGATGACTTAACATGGCATGGTGGCCCAGCACAGCGTCCAGCACAGGATGACACAGAGTGACCAAGCCGGAGGTGAGCGCAGTAATGGTGGCGATGAAGGTGATGGTGGTGAAGGCTGTAGCACTAGGGGTCCCCAGGCTACCCACACTCAAAGTCCCGCTCGCTGTAGCTGCGGCTAGGTTTCTCAGGGTCCCAGGCCGGGGTCTTGCTGATGAGGTCCCCAAACCTGCTCACAGCCAAGGTCTTGCCCAAGTCATCATCTTCCTCTTCTACATCTGGACCCAGAGGGGGCTCCTCCAAGGGTACCCGGACCTGCAGGCCAGAGAGCCTCTCCTAAGGACCCCCTAGTTCATGAACACTCCCCTCCCACCCTCAACTTCACAATTCAAGGGCCTTCCCAACACCTTCACCCTGGCCTGCATCAACATCCCCAAAACATCCTCTGAGGGCTTGCCCGGGGCACTGGGAGCACCAGCCACAAATGTGTGAAATACCAAAGACACCCCCCCACCCATTCCTCTACACCACCAATACAGCTCCACATCTGGATCTGGTGGTCCCAGGGTCATCCAAAGGGCACCCCACCCATCCCGCCCCTCCTCCCACACTCCACCCCCACGATCAGTCACCTGGGGTAGGGGGGAGGCGCCCCCGGGCGGCGGGATCAACCCATTAGCCATGGTACGGCTGAAGACTTAGGCGTCTCTCAATCACTATGGAACCCAAACCCTGGGTGAGAAGAAGGGGGCGCTGCGGAGACCTCTTGGGGAGCCTTGGGGGAGGAGGGCGGGGTCAGGAATCGCGCTGGTGGGCCCCCTCCGGGATGCTCCATCCCGGTGCCCAGCCCGCTCTCCCTTCCGAGGCCCAACTCGGTCCAGGTTAGTCCGATGTCCCCACCCGGCCCAGGGCCCACGCCTTGCCCTTTAAGTACCTCCGGGCTCCGGAACCTGCGGGGCTTGGGAGAGCCGCCGCGCCCCATGTCCCTCCCCGCTAGCTCCGGGGCGCGGCTGCCGGATTCCCGTCCGGCCTCTCGCCTTGCAGAGCCCGGCCAGGCGGACGCAGGCGCCGGAGCCCGCAGTCCACGGCTCCACCTCCTAGCGCTCGGCTCTGCCAGCCTGCCGCCGCCCGGCCGCACAATGGGAGTGGACGATCCCTGACTTACCCTGTCTGGGCCAGCGCGGGCCCCGCGCTCGGGTCCCCGCAGGATCCCACCTGCCCGCAAGACCCCTTTCCAGGCGCCCCACGCATTGCGGGGTGGGGGTGGGGGGAAGGGGCGGGTGCACGGCCCTAAATTCCCACAATCCCTCAAACGCACTCCTCCACCTTGCTTTTAGCCACCCCTCCCTTTCCCTCAGGAGCCCTGGAAGAAACCCCCTTCGCACATACAAGCCTCTCCAGCTTGGACACGAGATCACAGACCCCTGAAAGCCATCGCCATCAACACCTCCGGTCTCAGTTTAGCTGATGCCCTTCAAAGGCTGGCTTCTGGCGCTGGGCGCCACCCAACATTTGACCTTGGCACATTATCTACCCATCTGTAGCCAGAGGCAGCTGAAACAGGGGCATTCCAATTGGGCCAACAACTCTAAAATCCTGTGGCTAAGCTTCCACTGTTCCTCTGCCCGTACCCCTCCTCCCCCTTCTCCAACTGCGGAGGACCTATCTCACTTTCCAAGGTCAGAGAGATCTTTGGAAAGGGCACCTGGACCCCACTGTGTTCTCTGAGTCTGTGAAACTGGGCACCTAGACTAACCCATAGCCATAAAAGCCCTGAATGACAATCAGCTGAAGCCATGTCCCTAAACCTTAGAACAAACAAAGGGAAAAGAACTGGAGGTCAGCCGAAGGTGGGATGGGCAGGCTCTGATAAGAGCAACAAATGTCTCCTAGTTCAGCAAGGGAAGTGGAAAGGGGGGGAGAGGAGCAAGTACTAAGGCCCCTCCGACCCCTGCCCTGCACGATCTCAGCCCCACCCAAGGAAAGAGCTTACACATACGGAGCCTTGGGGATTGCTTGAAGCAGCTGGCCACATCACATCTACAATGGGAAACAGAGATGAATGGTTCCCTTTTTCCAGTTTACACAGTTCAGAATCCCCTGGCCAGAGAAATGATCCTGTCACAATTAAGATGGGTCTTCCAAGAGCCAGGCATGATGGTGCACAGCTTTAATCCCATCACTTAAAAGGCTGAGTAAATCCCTATAGGTTCAAGGCAAGCCTGGTCCCAACACTGAGTTCTAGCCAACCAGCGCTACATATTAAAACCCTGTCTCAAAAAACAACAGCAACAACAAAACCCAACCAACCGAACAAACAAAAAAGCCAGTTTATCTATATCAATTAAGTTAATCAAGAGACTCTCACACAGGCATGGCCCACCGATGAGGTGATTCTAGATGCCATCGCATTGACAACTTACACTAACCATCACAGGGAAATATTACTCCTTCGGCTGAGAACGCAGGTGGGTGGCTGAGCCCTGGCCATTCACTCCAGGCTTCTCACTTTCATCCAGATTTACAAAGATGTCAGCGTTGTGTGTCAGCTGTGCAGAAACAGAACATGTGAATTGCCTTCCAAAAGTCAAGCATAAGAGACCCGTGGGCTGGCACTGAATTGTGTCCCCTAAAACTCATATGTGAAATCTCAACATCCATGACTTCAGAATGAGCCCTTATTTGGAAATAAAGCCATCGCGGTTGTTAAGGCCATCCTTGAGTGGTATATGCTCCTTTCTTATCCGATATGGTGTGTCTATAAAAAGGGGAGATTTGGACACAGGCACACATGGAAAGAACACTGTGTGAAGATTGGCAATATGCCATCACAAACCAAAGAAATTCCAAAAAACTGAGAGGCCTGGAACAGGTCCTTCCTGAGTATCTTCAGAGAGAACTCAGGTCTGTGGATACTTGATTTCAGACATTGTGAAGCCGTTCTCTCTGTTAACTTTCATGGCAGCAGTCCCAGTGAAGTAACCCATTGTCCCCATCTGTCATCACCCTGAGCCAGCTAACCTAGCCTTAAGTCTTAATGGAGCTATCCCTTGTTGGGAACACTCTAGGAGGATCCCTTTCATCTTCGTTCTGTCCTCTACATCTTAGTGATGGACCCTCCCCCACAGCCTAGAAAACAGTGAGTTTCATGTCAAGACACCCTGAGAAGTTTTTGTCAACCTGGAAGCCCTAGGGTGCTGTGCTGTGTAACGCACACCTTGTCCCTTAGAGATTCCACTCCAGAGTGGATGTTGCACAGAGTCTCCTCTCACTAGGTGGGAACACCTAACTGGTCCCTTGGAGACCCTCATCCCACGTGGAATCAGGAACTCCAGTCTCAGCTCCACAAGCATCTCTCTTTTATCTTCCATATCTCTGGAATGATGAAGTAAAATGTCCCCCTGGGAGGGATTTTAGAAGCTCATGTTCCTCTCTCATTCTGAGGCAGGGTGAGCAGGAGATGTTGACTCACTCACCACTTGCTCCCTGCTAACTCATTCTACTTGGTGTATTATGTATTTTTTCATTATTCCTGCAGCTCTCTTAGCATTCTGCCTCCAGCATACCTGTACCTGTCAGTCCCCCACTGTGAGTTCTGGAAGAGTCTTTACTACTGTGACAAGGATGGCCCATGCATGCACCAAGGATAGCCACTTTGGTGTATGTGGGCTACCACTTCCAGAGCCTGTATATGCTTAAATGCTGACAGGAATGGTGACGGCAAAGGCAGACAAAACCAGTGACAGACAATTTCAAAACAAGAGCTACCCCACCCACTCTCCCTCATAGTGCAGTCTGATTTGGACTTTTCACCTGCATGTTGATGCTCCAGAGTGACTTCTTGATACATGTAATGCCACCACAACCCATGTCCTCTGTCCAGGGAGCAAGATCCATTTTGTCATCCAGACTTGGGTAGAGATACAAGTACAGTTTTCAGAGTTCCTCACAATTGAGCCAGGAGCTCAATAGAGTACATTTCTCTTTGAGCCATTCCCTAGAATGGCTTGGTCTTAGGTTCCAACATGTTAGACACTAGACTAGTATAAAACATATCTGTCATCTATGGCAACTTAAATCTTTGAAACTTCTCCATTTAAGCCCGCTCTTGCCAAGGTAGAAGTTAGAAACTGCGTGTGTCTTGACTCTCTTGCAGCTAAGTTAAGACACTGCTCTGAGATGAGTTTCAACAGTTAAAGTCTCTAGTACAAGTTCTGAATTCAGAAGTGATATGCTCAGAGGATACTACCTCCAAGTAACGGATGGCTATGTGGGTTCTGGGAATTCAACTCAGGTCACCTGCAAGAGCAACAAGTGCTCTTGTCTTCAGCCACTACCACACACACACACCTATACACAGCCTTCACTCTTCTCTTAAAGCAGAGTCTTCTTTTAATGTAGAGTTGACTGAACGTGTCCACGCATCTTCACCAGAAGCTGGGGCTTCTCTACCCTTTCTGTTTCTGTTGGGAATTACTTGGACTCAGTACTTGACACGTCCTTTACTGTGTAGCTCCTGAAGGGCTCCCCTGGCCAAGGAACCACAGATATTCAGTCTCTCAGAGACCACAGCTGAAGTAATAAGCTTATTGATGGGAACTTCCTTACAGTTTGTCATACGTAGCTTTCTTAAACAGGGCAAGGACACTGAGCTTGTCATGAGCTTTGTCTTTGTGGCACTTCTTGTTGGCTTTACCTTGAGATTTGTTTACTGGGTCTTTGTCTTTCTTGGCCAGCTTTCCAGGAGCCATCTTCTTGTCACCTGTCCTTGGGTAGTATGGTGAACTCAGAGAGTGTCCACAATCACTACAGTCTCGCCAGACAACAGGCGCATCCTTTACTCTTAATGATGACAACGTGATAACTTTTACCTGGAATTTAAATGGTACTTTCCATTTTACAAGGCGCTGTGATAGTCTCATGGCCCCTCACAGCAACCCTCTACTTGACTGGTAAGAAAAATAAGGCTCATGAAGTATAAGTGACTTGCTCAAGATTGAAGACCCATAGGCAACATAGCCAAGGGAGTCCCAGAGCTCTGGTATCATGCCCAACATTTACTCCCAAATATCACAGCTTGCCAACACTCCCTATCATGTCTCAATGCCCTGAAGCAGCTGCTAAACCTTCCAAGCCATGTGCAAAACTGAACTATAGCACTCATTTCCCAGGTTTATTTTTCAAGACTATCTTTGCTATTAGAGGCTACAGAGGCAAAAAGCTAAGCCTGAGATCTCTGGGGGCCAAGTGGCCTGAGATCATACCCCAGCTTGGCCACTGGATAACCGCTTGAGCAAGGTATTTATTACTATGTCTGGTGCTTTGGTTTCTCCAGCAGTGACTACGGGGTTGTTGAGAGGAAAAAGGTGAGCTTGTCTGTGTGTAACACATAGAACAGAGAGACTTGGTACATGGTGGAGATTGGGAAACGTTAGGTGTTGTAATAATTAAATAAAATCGGCCTCTGGTCATGCCTGTCTAAGCTGCAGCAGCTCTGCCTAGCTCAGCCACCATGTTTCTCGGCCGGAGGTGTCATTCTCACCGCAGCTAGAACTGAACCAGCCAGAAACACCAGCCCTGCCACCCACGAGACACCAGCATGGGAGATGGCTCTGCCAATCTTCCATGCTGTCTTTGCAAGGCTGGGCATTGCCCAGACCATTCTGCCATCCACGTGGGCCCAGTAAGAGAATGAGACTCTAATTCTTATAGATTAATCAAAGGCTTTATGTGTTTGGTAATGATTAATAATAAGATGCCCATACAAAGAGAGTTGTACCCCAATTAGCTAACCTAATTATAAGTTGTTCCCCACAACTGCTCTCCACATCTGTGTGGTTCTCCATCCTCCTACATCTCTGCCCTCTCTAGCTCCTCCTCTTCCTTTTTCCTCTTCCTCTCCCAACTCCTCCTCTTCCTCTCCTTACTCCTCCCACCTTAGCTCCTCCTACAGTTAGGTAGCTCCAATGCTGCTGCAAACCTAAGGGATGTAAGTCTTCAGAGTCCTCAAGGAAACGGGAAAGGACAGTGTGCACACATATGAATTAAGTGCATGTTAGTGTATGTTAACATACAAGAGCAGTATG